ACAAAAAGTTGCTGCAGCCATTAAACCATATCCATATAAAAGCCAGTGACCTATAATAACTATTGCATTTTTCGTATCTAATACACAACTCAACAATAATGCTTTTGTTGACTGAAAAAAAAAATAGAAATTAATGAAATCTTTATATATATAATATCCAGTGTTGTTTAAATATATTCAAATATAAATACTTAGTGGAGAACATTACCTGATTCAATTTTAATGAAAAATGTGCTGCATTAGATAGTATTGATAATATGATCGTTATGTATGGGAATGAATAATCTGCAAAAACAAAAGTTAGAAGAATATTGAGATTCTGTTAATACAAATTATTTCACTTACATATTAAACCACCACCAATTGCATGTAACAATGCTAAAATAGGGTAGAAATAAAGAGCAGCATAAATTGAAAATTTTCCTTTCTTTGGTAAAAATTTCTTGGCTATAATTGGCCTTATTAATAACATTATAGCTGTGCCTAAAGCATAAAAAATGAACACCATTGTGTACCTAAGAATTAAACAATTAGTTAATTTTTTGAATAAGAAGGAATCAAGTAACTTAATGATCATATACTTAAAAACTGACAAAGGATAAACAGCTTCTTGTGTACAATGTAAAGTTTCTTCATAATTTGGGCTAGGATTGTGCAACAGTGTGTACCAATCTGAAAGTTTTGTGGCTCTACATGATCTAACTGTAAAACTACCTATAGGATCAGTCAATTGTAAAGTAATCACAGATGCAGAAACAACCTCCAGTAAAGCAGACAAATGTAATGCAATCACTTTCTTGGGTATATTACGCTGCATAGATACCATATCAATACAAAACCAATGTAATACTAATGCTAATAGAGCCATAAATCCTAAGTAGAGCCAATCATAAAGCATTGGTTCATCATCACAAGGTACACATATTGAAGAAGTATTTGCTCTGAACCCTCGAGGACATGCACCACAGTCACTCCAATTGCCATCGGGCAATAGTTCTCTTCCACAATACAATCCAGGACATCGAGTAAATAAATTTAGAGCATTTGTCTTTGGTACAGAACACATGAAGAAATAGTTAACAAAACAGTATTTATAGATATTTTTGATGTTTATTCCTGTCTTTTAATTTTTAAATGTATCTTAAAAAACACTCCTGATCTTTAACAACATAGCATAAACATTTGAAGGTTAAATGACAAAAACAATGAATGATATTCCATATGGCGCAATCACATAATCTTGTAATTATTTATATTATTAAACCCAAAATATATTATTTTAAATAATAAACAGGTACACTATTATGGAAGCACTTTGTTTGCAAGATTTAATGAAGCATCTCTGACTAAATTTGTAAACTGTGATCAAGTATGTAACGTCATCTGACGGTTGAATGTTTTATAAATCAGTAACATCACATGTATATCTAATGGAAACTATACCAGTGGCCGCAGAGACTAAAAAGTAAAAAGTATGATTTTATAAATGTGTGAAACGAATAAAAACATACAATATGAAAAGTATGAAGTTATATATATACATTTTACAATATAAATACAAATTAATATATGATGTAAGAGATTAAAGGATCTTAAGAACGAATTTGAAAGCTTTTATCTTCCGTTATCTTCCTATCATATGAAACTACCAACTATGTGATGTACATATAACGGTATTAAGGCATGTTCATATTTGATTCAAACTATACTAAATTAACTACAAATAGCAATGAGGAAACGATGAAAAAGTATAGATAACGTATAATTTTCAACCAATAGTTTCAAATGATATAAATAGTATGATTGGTTAAACGCAAATTTAAATGTTCCTAGTGAAAAAGCAATGGTGCAATGGCAAAACGGTAAAGATTCGTAAAGTGGCGCGATCTAGGGCGTTCGCAAGTATTCGTGTTTGATCGGGAATCTCCGGCCGATGATTGTCGAGTGCACATTACTATTTTCAGGCACACAAGGCACCTCTTGACGGGTTTTCAATAAGTGAAGAAGGGCGACGGTGCAAGGATCCTTTTTTCTTTTTAATTTAAATTTTACGTGCGGTAGATGCCGAAATTGTAGTAGCTTGTGTGCGCGTAATAAAACGTACGATGTTGGAAGACGTCTCGGCAGGACTTAGTGCCTGACGGTCTGTCGGTCGTTCCGGCAAAAATGAAAGAAGCTCGTCGGTCCGAGCAGCTGATGGCGGCCGAGTGCTGTTCGAGCCTCAGTGTCCCCCATCGCAGCGTTTAAGTGAGTGTGTGCGTTTAGCTGCGCGAGCGGAGTGCGGCTACCGCGTGCGGAAGGAAGATAATTCTGTGGAAGATAGATTTTGCGCGGCGAAAGACCGCTTGTAGACGAACTACGAGCTATTTCGTAACGGTGCTTCTTTCGCGACTTGGTACCCGACACGCAGGCACGGTACGGTAAGCCTGCCAGCCGTTCACGGTCTCCGGCGCCGTGAATCAAATATTCGCTCGAACGGCAAAAACCGAAGAACCAAGCCATAGACCAAACCAGCAGTTGTGGTTTCATGTAACGCGTAATCCACATACGATCAAGAAAAGACACGGTGCCGCTTCTGTGTTGCACGGTGTAGGTGGGAGATTCGACGTACGACGGGGCGTGCGTTCGCGTGTGACAACGCCTAACAAGCGATCGCGCCCCTTTTTCGACCGATACAAAAACGAGCTGACAATTCTTCAACGAATTTTAATTGATCTGTGAACTTAATGGATCTCGTCGTTTGACAAACCTTGATTAACACCCTGCTGTCCTGATACGCGGAAAAACTCCTCGTGCTATGCACGCATTACTATCAATTTTCACCCCTCTCTGCTTCAGGAACGTCTGAACCAGTAGGTTATCGTGTTCAGGTACACCACGTGCGCTTGGTAATTGTGTAGTGTTGCTTTGTCCTTGTGTGCGTAGTGAGTTCATCTTCCTCGACGCGGAATGCGACCTCCCCGGGGTGGATGCAATCTTCTTTAGTCGCGTCCAACGCCGAAAAAGTGCAGCCGAGGCACGAAAGTGCCTCCAGCGTTCCACTTCCCTCCACCTCTCATAGTGCCTCTGCTAATCCCAACATGTCGTCTGCGACTTTTGTGGATCGGATAGATCCCTTTGCCAAGAGATCTCTCAAGAAAAAATCCAAGAAATCACAGGGTTCATCTCGTTATCGTAACTCTCAAGATGTTGAACTTCTGCAGTTACCGCAGCTCAAAGGTTAGTTGTGATCCTCTACTTTATTTACTTTCTTGTATGTTCTTTATATTTACATTTTCATAGTAATGTCACAAAGATAATAATGAGGTGGATAAATGGAAGTGCTATTAAAAGTACTTGCATTTTTCTGCTCCTTTCTTTGCCGTGGTTCAGGTTAGAAATATTTTTTATTGAATATTCAGTGTGTGTCGTGTATGAAAGGAAAGATACACGTATACTCATGTTCAAGCGAAACAGTAAAGCTACTATATTTTGAAACGGTTCAGAATGATTACGAATTTATTGTTTCATTTGAACATCTTTCACATTGTGGTTACCGCAAACTACAATATTATAGTATTTATATACAGATGGCGTTACATAATAACTCGAATATGTTCTGCCTATCTGAATATTAGTTTTCTGGTTATAGTCAAATAAATCTATTCTCAGTGGCATTAGGATATGAAAATGTAAACTACGTATTCTTTGAGCATACTATTTTATATCTTTAATATATATTATAATTTGAATATACTTTGTTTAACATAATTGCATTCACCATATAATTATTAGTAAAAAAGATCATACTCCACCTACTAAGGATCAAACATGTTTAAAGTTTTAAAATTGGCAATATATTCATTGTTTTAATATTGAGCAATCATAATATGCAGATGAAATGGAATTGTATTCTGGTGCTAAACAAAGTTATTAGATGATGTATCAATGACTTCAGCATACATATGCTTAAAATACATTCCATTTAAATCATTTCTTATATAATTCTCGCTTAGTTATATCATTAATCATTGCAAACTATTAGAATTCTTTATGATTGATATAAATTTTGTGAATACATTAAACTTAAGATGATGTAACAATAATATTTAATACCGAATGTTAGATGAGGTATTAAGTAACGTGAATTTGATATTGTATTCATAACTTATACACTAGATTGCTCGATATAAAGATAACGTGAAATTGCCGAAGCTAACCTCAAATATGTGGTGATAAGCACGTTTGTACCGAAAGTAATGTCCGATTTCTCGTTTCCTAAATAATTAATACATCTGACACACACGGTGCTAGCAATTTTAATTTATTGAGCATTTAGAAAGAGGTAGCATTTAATTCTATGAATACGTGTCTGATGTACTTCGTATTGACGTATGTTAGAAAATCGATGAGGAGCGGCAAAGCAGAGGTCAGTTCACGTTATTCGACCGATTTTCCTGTAGTATAAATTTCGTTTACCATCGATGATGGCAACACGAATGATAAATGAATTTTCTCTCTCGTGGTGATTTCTTGAAAAATTTCGTTCCGGATATTGATTTTATTCTGCATAGTAGATAAATATCATGATTCTGTACGAATTGAGAACTGGAATTTAGCTATATATTAACGCTTGCAAATTTCCATTGCACTACGTGCGTATCACATTACATCATATATGTATTTTTATTACCCGATGAGATCCTATTTCATCGATTTGTAAATCGTTTAAGAAAAATGCAACTTTAACCACAGAATCAAATTATCCGTGAATTCTGATTTCGTTTTTGTTAATTAGGCCGTTCCCCTGCCGTTTGTCCTTCGGATCGCTCTTACATAACCTGTACAAGCTTACTATCTTTTGTAGTTGAAAGTTGCACACGGAATGAATCGTTGATTTCCAAAAATTATCATTGTACGTTACATTTAAATAATAATTTCCATAAAACGGACCTGTGTATGCATTTGAATTAATCAAGCCACATACACACAACGCGGCTGTGTTTAATGTAAATCAGCCATTAGGAAATTCAACGTTATCATATTAAGTGTACTCGTAACACGAAGGCAATTACTTCTGAAGTATCAACGCTTGTTCTTGCGAAACGTGTCGATGTTAAACGACGTAACAACGGAATAGTGTTATTCAAAAATAATTTTTTTCCAAGAGCACGAAACACGCGTTGACAAGGTATGGAAGTGGGAGATACAAACCTTGACGGCTTTCCGATGTCAGAATGATCTTGATTCAACGACTCTACACTATTTTCGTAAGCTGCTTGAAAACAGTACGTAGTGACCCATAAACTCGTGGCATGTTCCGACGACGAGCGGTTATGCGAAATACAGGCATCCACCTTGCAGTAGGCAGTGTCGTTCACCTCTGCCAATAAAACGGCAGTAGTCCTTACAGTCTCTCTTTCTCTGTCGCTCCTTCACCAGCTCACTGTCTTCTCCGCTTCTCTCCTCTTTACACTTGTTACTATCTCTTTTACTTCTACGCTCGGTTTCTCGCTCCGTCTCTTTCTCGCGCGCAGCGTACATAACCTATATGCACGTGTTTTCCGCTCGCGTATTGCGTGTATACGTGCGTTTGCGTATCGACACACGCGATTCCACATGATTCACGAAACACTGACTTTCGGTTAAACGACAAGAGTGGATAAAAGAATAACATACAAAATGTGTGTACAAAATATGAAACCTAACCTAACCAATAATATGAAATAACTTCTATTCACTCCCAACGTATATTACTTCAAAATGGTTTTTTATTCATTCAAAGTTATACATGTCACCGCAGACATTGTCTGGTACGTGGTGAATCGTAATGCCTCGGCAGTGGGGTCGTAGCCGTAAGTAAGCCCGGTTTCATGCGGGATTTATGTACTGCATAGAGCCTGTGGCGTAAGACCAAAGCGGGCAAATGTGTTTGGGACCGGTTACGTTCTCGGGGGGAACTCCTGCCGGCGATTGCAGTACTCGAGAGGATTTTCAGAGGCAGCATCCTGCGGGGTATCGGCGTGTGCTGCAGACGCTCGTGAATGATGAAAAGTGCAACGAGCGGGGCTACCGACATCGATTATT